GCTGTAGCAACAGCAGCTGTAGCAGCAACAGCAGCTGTAGCGGCAGCAGTAGCAACAGCTGCAGCGGCAGCAGTAGCAACAGCAGCAGCTGCTGCAGTAGTAGCTGTAGCAGCAACAGCTGTAGCAGCTGTAGCAACAGCAGCAGCTGTAGCAGCAACAGCAGCTGTAGCGGCAGCAGTAGCAACAGCAGCAGCTGCTGCAGTAGTAGCAACAGCAGCAGCTGCTGCAGTAGTAGCTGTAGCAGCAGCGGCAACAGCTGTAGCAGCAACAGCTGTAGCAGCAACAGCTGCAGCAGCTGTTGCTGCAGCAGCTGTAGCTGCAGCAGCTGTAGCTGTAGCTGCAGCAGCTGCAGCAGCTGTAGCGGCAGCAGTGGCTGGGGGTGACGTCACCTGGTGCTGCTGCTCCTCGCGGGAATGATTCGAGCATTGGGGAAACAATAAACACGAATTGTCTCTGACTGTGTGTGTCTGTGTGTGTGTGTCTGTGTGTGTCTGTGTGTGTGTGTCTGTGTGTGTGTGTCTGTGTGTCTGTGTGTGTGTGTATGTGTGTCTGTGTGTGTGTCTGTGTGTGTGTCTGTGTATGTGTGTCTGTCTGTGTGTGTCTGTGTGTGTCTGTGTGTGTGTCTGTGTCTGTGTGTGTCTGTGTGTGTCTGTGTGTGTCTGTGTGTGTGTCTGTGTGTGTCTGTGTGTGTGTGTCTGTGTGTGTGTGTATGTGTGTGTCTGTGTGTGTGTGTCTGTGTGTGTGTCTGTGTGTGTCTGTGTGTGTGTCTGTGTGTGTCTGTGTGTGTGTGTCTGTGTGTGTGTGTCTGTGTGTGTGTGTATGTGTGTGTCTGTGTGTGTGTGTCTGTGTGTGTCTGTGTGTGTCTGTGTGTGTGTCTGTGTGTGTCTGTGTGTGTGTGTCTGTGTTTGTGTGTCTCTGTGTGTGTATGTGTGTGTCAGTGTGTGTGTGTCTGTGTGTCTCTGTGTGTGTGTGTATGTCTGTGTGTGTGTGTGTCTGTGTGTCTGTGTGTGTATCTCTGTGTGTCTCTGTGTGTGTCTGTGGGTGTGTGTACACTCACCTCACTCTTACACTCACCTCTCACTCACCCTCACCCTCACCTCTCACTCACCCTCACCCTCACCTCTCACTCACCCTCACCTCTCACTCACCTCACCCACCTCACCTCACCCACCTCACCTCTCACTCACCTCACCCACCTCACCTCTCACTCACCCTCACCCACCTCACCCACCCTCACCTCACCCTCACCCACCTCACCCACCCTCACCTCACCCTCACCCACCTCACCCACCCTCACCTCACCCTCACCTCACACTCACCCTCACCTCACCTCACCCTCACCTCACACTCACCCTCTCACTCACCCTCACCTCACCTCACCCTCACCTCTCACTCACCCCTAACTCACCCTCTCACTCACCCCTCACCTCACCCTCACCTCTCACTCACCTCTCACTCACCTCACTCACCCTCACCTCTCACTCACCCCTCACTCACCCTCACCACTCACTCACGGCCCATGCTGCACGTGGGTTGCGTGCTGGGATTTGGTCACGAGATTCACATTCACTCACTACTACTATCACCATCATCACTACTACTACTACTATCACCATCACTTACTACACCACCATCATCACTCACTCACTACCATCATCACTCACTCACTACCACTACTACTATCACCATCACTACTACCACTACACCATCATCACTCACTCACTACCACTATCACCATCACTCACTACTACCACTACACCATCACTCACTCACCTACTACTACACCTACTACTACACCACCATCACTCACTCACTCACTACTACTACTACTACACCTACTACTACTACACCATCACCATCTACTACTACTACACCACCATCACCTACTACACCTACTACTACACCACCATCACTCACTCACTACCACTACTACACCTACTACTACACCACCATCACTCACTCACTACTACTACTACACCTACTACTACTACACCATCACCATCTACTACTACTACACCACCATCACCTACTACACCTACTACTACACCACCATCACTCACTCACTACTACTACTACACCTACTACTACACCACCACTCACTCACTACCACTATCACCACCATCACTCACCATCACCATCACTCACTACCACTACTACACCATCACTCACTCACTACCACTACTACTACTACACCACCATCACTCACTCACTTACTACCACCACCACCATCACTCACTACCACTATCACCACCATCACTCACTCACTCACCACTATCACCATCACTACCATCACTCACTCACTCACTACCACTACTACTACACCACCATCACTCACTCACTACCACCACCACCATCACTCACTCACTACTACACCTACTACTACACCTACTACTACACCTACTACTACTACTACACCATCACTCACTCACTACCACTATCATCTACTACTACACCTACTACTACTACTACTACACCACCACTCACTCACTCACTACCACTACTACTACACCTACTACTACACCACCACTCACTCACTACCACTACTACTACACCATCATCACCACCATCACTCACTCACTCACCACTATCACCATCACTACCATCACTCACTCACTCACTACCACTACTACACCATCACTCACTCACTACCACTATCACCACTCACTACCACTACTACTACTACACCTACTACTACTACACCTACTACTACTACACCATCATCATCACCATCACTCACTCACTACCACCATCACTCACTCACTACTACCACCACCATCACTCACTCACTCACCACTATCACCATCACTCACTCACTCACCACTATCACCATCACTCACTCACTACACCACCATCACTCACTCACTACACCACCATCACTCACTCACTACCACCATCACCACCACCATCACCTACTACACCACCATCACTCACTCACTCACTACCACCATCACCACCATCACCACCATCACCTACTACACCACCATCACTCACTCACTCACCACTATCACCACCATCACCTACTACTCCTACTACTACACCATCACCATCACCACCACCTACTACTACTACTACACCACCACCACCACCACCACCTTCACCACCACCACCACCTACTACTACTCCACCACCACCACCTCCACCACCACCTCCACCACCACCACCACCTCCTCCACCACCACCTCCATCACCACCTACTACTCCACCACCTCCTACTCCTCCTCCTCCTCCTCCACCACCAACACCACCACCTCCACCACACCACCACCATCACCACCACCACCACCATCACCACCATCACCACCACCACCACCTCCTCCTCCTCCACCACCTCCTCCTCCACCTCCTCCTCCCCCACCTCCTCCTCCCCCACCTACTCCACCCCCACCTCCTCCACCACCTCCTCCACCACCACCTCCTCCACCACCTCCTCAGTAGCCAGCAACTCCTCCTCAACCACCACATCACCATCATCACCCCACACTCAATCCTCACCACCATCACCATCCTCCACTCCTACTGCTGGTGATGGGTGGACTTGTTGGCCGAGTAATTGTCCACCCGGAATGGTCGACTTGTAACAAGGTCACTTTGTGTCGTCTTGTAGGCTGTAGCGGTGGTGGTGGAGGTGGTGGACACCACAGGGCATCTGCTGGTGATGGGTGGACTTGTTGGCTGAGTCACTGTCCACCCGGAATGGTCGACTTGTAACAAGGTCACTTTGTGTCATCTTGTAGGCTGTAGCGGTGGTGGTGGAGGTGGTGGACACCACAGGGCATCTGCTGGTGATGGGTGGACTTGTTGGCTGAGTCACTGTCCACCCGGAATGGTCGACTTGTAACAAGGTCACTTTGTAGTCTTGTAGGCAGTAGCGGTGGTGGTGGAGGTGGTGGACACCACAGGGCATCTGCTGGTGATGGGTGGACTTGTTGGCTGAGTTATTGTCCACCCGGAATGGTCGACTTGTTACAAGGTCACTTTGGAGTCTTGTAGGCTGTAGCGGTGGAGGTGGTGGAGGTGGTGGACACCACAGGGCATCTGCTGGTGATGGGTGGACTTGTTGGCTGAGTCAGTGTCCACCCGGAATGGTCGACTTGTAACAAGGTCACTTTGGAGTCTTGTAGGCAGTGGTGGTGGAGGTGGTGGACACCACAGGGGATCTGGTGGTGATGGGTGGACTTGTTGGCTGAGTCAGTGTCCACCCGGAATGGTCGACTTGTAACAAGGTCACTTTGTGGAGTCTTGTAGGCAGTAGCGGTGGTGGACACCACAGGGCATCTGCTGGTGATGGGTGGACTTGTTGGCTGAGTCATTGTCCACCCGGAATGGTCGACTTGTAACAAGGTCACTTTGTAGTCTTGTAGGCAGTAGCGGTGGAGGTGGTGGACACCACAGGGCATCTGCTGGTGATGGGTGGACTTGTTGGCTGAGTTATTGTCCACCCGGATTGGTCGACTTGTAACAAGGTCACTTTGGAGTCATGTAGGCTGTAGCGGTGGTGGTGGAGGTGGGTGGATGGATGGACTGGTGGGTGGATGGATGGACTGGTGGGTGGATGGATGGACTGGTGGGTGGATGGATGGACTGGTGGGTGGATGGATGGACTGGTGGGTGGATGGATGGACTGGTGGGTGGATGGACTGGTGGGTGGATGGACTGGTGGGTGGATGGGTGAACTGGTGGGTGGATGGATGGACTGGTGGGTGGATGGATGGACTGGTGGGTGGATGGATGGACTGGTGGGTGGATGGGTGGACTGGTGGGTGGATGGGTGAACTGGTGGGTGGATGGATGGACTGGTGGGTGGATGGATGGACTGGTGGGTGGATGGATGGACTGGTGGGTGGATGGATGGACTGGTGGGTGGATGGATGGACTGGTGGGTGGATGGGTGGACTGGTGGGTGGATGGGTGAACTGGTGGGTGGATGGATGGACTGGTGGGTGGATGGACTGGTGGGTGGATGGATGGACTGGTGGGTGGATGGATGGACTGGTGAGTGGATGGGTGGACTGGTGGGTGGATGGGTGGACTGGTGCATGGATGGGTGGACTGGTGGGTGGATGGGTGGACTGGTGGGTGGATGGGTGAACTGGTGGACTAGTGGGTGGAGTGGTGTGTGAGCGAGTGTCCACCTAAATGGAGGACTTTGAGAAGGAGACACGGAGGTGGTGATTCTCCCCCAGGTCGTAGTTGTGGAGTTCAATGAGTGAGGAGACCGCCTCCTCGACAGAGCTCATCTGGAGCAAGGCCATACGGCGATCCTTCCTACTCACACAGTCACAGTCAGTCACACACACACAGTCACACACACACAGTTACACACAGTCACACACAGTCACACACACACACAGTCACACAGTCACACACACAGTCACACAGTCAGTCACACACACACACACAGTCACACACACACACAGTCAGTCACACACACACACAGTCAGTCACACACACACACAGTCACACACACACACAGTCAGTCAGTCACACAGTCAGTCAGTCAGTCACACACACACAGTCACACACAGTCACACACACACAGTCAGTCACAAACACACAGTCACACACAGTCACACACAGTCACACACAGTCACACACACACACACAGTCAGTCACACAGTCACACAGTCAGTCACACACACAGTCACACACACAGTCACACAGTCACACACACAGTCAGTCACACACACAGTCAGTCACACAGTCAGTCACACACACACAGTCACACAGTCAGTCACACAGTCAGTCAAACAGTCACACACACACAGTCACACAGACAGTAACACAGTCACACACAGTCACACACACAGTCAGTCACACAGTCACACACAGTCAGTCACACAGTCACACACACAGTCACACAGTCACACACACAGTCACACAGTCAGTCACACACACACACACAGTCACACACACACAGTCAGTCAGTCACACACACACACAGTCACACACACACACAGTCACACACACAGTCACACAGTCACACACACAGTCACACAGTCACACACACAGTCAGTCACACACACACACACAGTCAGTCACACACAGTCACACACAGTCACACACACAGTCACACACACAGTCAGTCACACACAGTCACACAGTCAGTCACACACACAGTCACACAGTCACACACAGTCAGTCACACAGTCAGTCACACACAGTCACACAGTCAGTCACACAGTCAGTCACACACAGTCACACACAGTCACAGTCAGTCACACAGTCACACACACACAGTCACACACAGTCAGTCACACAGTCACACACAGTCAGTCACACACAGTCAGTCACAGTCACACACAGTCACACACAGTCACACACACAGTCAGTCACACACACAGTCACACAGTCACACAGTCACACACAGTCACACACAGTCAGTCACAGTAACACACAGTCACACACAGTCAGTCACAGTCACACACAGTCAGTCACACACAGTAACACACAGTCACACACAGTAACACACAGTCACACACAGTCAGTCACAGTCACACACAGTCAGTCACACACAGTAACACACAGTCACACACAGTAACACACAGTCACACACAGTCAGTCACAGTAACACACAGTCACACACAGTCAGTCACAGTCACACACAGTCACACACAGTCAGTCACAGTCACACACAGTCACACACAGTCAGTCACACAGTCACACACACAGTCACAGTCAGTCACACAGTCACACACACAGTCAGTCACACACACAGTCACACAGTCAGTCACACACACAGTCAGTCACACACACACACACGTACACACACACACGCAGTCACACACACACGCAGTCACACACACACACACACACAGTCACACACACACACGCAGTCACACACACACACGTACACACACACACGCAGTCACACAGTCACACACACGTACACACACACAGTCACACACACACACACAGTCACACACACACACACACGTATGTGTGCGTGTAGGTGGTGTGCGTACGGGAAGAACTTGAAGCCTTTGACACTGCCTCCCGTGTTGTCAAACAGAGACTTCAGCTCCTCCTCAGACACAGACGGCCTGCACACAGACACACACAGACAGACACACACACACAGACACAGACACACACACACAGACACACACACACAGACACACACACACAGGGTGAGACACATTGTACTACACTATCTACTGTGTGTGTACCGTGTGTGTGTACCGTGTGTGTGTACAGTGTGTGTGTACTGTGTGTGTACTGTGTGTGTACCGCGTGTGCATGTACCGTGTGTGTGTGTACTGTGTGTGTGTACTGTGTGTGTGTACCGTGTGTGTGTACTGTGTGTGTGTACCGTGTGTGTGTGTACTGTGTGTGTGTACTGTGTGTGTACTGTGTGTGTGTACTGTGTGTGTGTACCGTGTGAGTGTACCGTGTGTGTACTGTGTGTGTGTACTGTGTGTGTGTACCGTGTGATTGTACTGTGTGTACTGTGTGAGTGTACTGTGTCTGTACTGTGTGTGTACCGTGTGTGTGTGTACAGTGTGTGTGTACCGTGTGAGTGTACTGTGTACTGTGTGAGTGTACTGTGTGTGTGTACTGTGTGTGTACTGTGTGTGTGTGTACTGTGTGTGTGTGTACTGTGTGTGTACTGTGTGTGTGTACTGTGTGTGTGTACTGTGTGTGTGTACTGTGTGTGTGTACTGTGTGTGTGTACTGTGTGTGTGTACTGTGTGTGTGTACTGTGTGTGTGTACTGTGTGTGTACTGTGTGTGTGTACTGTGTGTGTACACTGTGTGTGTACTGTGTGTGTACTGTGTGTACTGTGTGTGTGTACTGTGTGTGTGTACTGTGTGTGTACCGTGTGTGTACCGTGTGTGTGTACTGTGTGTACTGTGTGTCTACTGTGTGTCTACTGTGTGTGTGTACTGTGTGTGTGTACTGTGTGTGTATTGTGTGTGTACTATGTGTACTATGTGTACTGTGTGTGTACTGTGTGTGTACTGTGTGTGTGTACTGTGTGTGTGTACTGTGTGTGTGTACTGTGTGTGTGTACTGTGTGTGTGCTGTGTGTGTACTGTGTGTGTACCGTGTGTGTACTGTGTGTGTACTGTGTGTACTGTGTGTGTGTACTGTGTGTGTACACTGTGTGTGTACTGTGTGTGTACTGTGTGTGTGTACTGTGTGTGTGTACTGTGTGTACTGTGTGTGTGTACTGTGTGTGTACTGTGTGTGTGTACTGTGTGTGTACTGTGTGTGTACTGTGTGTGTACCGTGTGTGTACTGTGTGTGTACAGTGTGTGTGTACTGTGTGTGCTGTGTGTACTGTGTGTGTACTGTGTGTACTCTGTGTGTACTGTGTGTGTGTACTGTGTGTGTGTACTGTGTGTGCGTACTGTGTGTCTACTGTGTGTGTACTGTGTGTGTGTACTGTGTGTGTACTGTGTGTACTGTGTGTGTACTGTGTGTGCGTACTGTGTGTACTGTGTGTACTGTGTGTGTGTACTGTGTGTGTGTACCGTGTGAGTGTACTGTGTGTACTGTGTGAGTGTACTGTGTCTGTACTGTGTGTGTACCATGTGTGTGTGTACAGTGTGTGTGTACCGTGTGAGTGTACTGTGTGTACTGTGTGAGTGTACTGTGTGTGTGTACTGTGTGAGTGTACTGTGTGTGTGTACTGTGTGTGTGTGTACTGTGTGTGTACTGTGTGTACTGTGTGTGTGTACTGTGTGTGTGTACTGTGTGTGTGTACTGTGTGTGTGTACTGTGTGTGTACTGTGTGTGTGTACTGTGTGTGTGTACTGTGTGTGTGTGCTGTGTGTGTACTGTGTGTGTACTGTGTGTGTACTGTGTGTGTGTACTGTGTGTGTACTGTGTGTGTACTGTGTGTGTACTGTGTGTGTGTACTGTGTGTGTGTACTGTGTGTGTACACTGTGTGTGTACTGTGTGTGTACTGTGTGTGTACTGTGTGTGTGTACTGTGTGTGTACCGTGTGTGTACCGTGTGTGTACCGTGTGTGTGTACTGTGTGTCTACTGTGTGTGTACTGTGTGTGTACTGTGTGTGTGTACTGTGTGTGTACTATGTGTACTGTGTGTACTGTGTGTGTACTGTGTGTGTACTGTGTGTGTGTACTGTGTGTGTGTACTGTGTGTGTGTACTGTGTGTGTGCTGTGTGTGTACTGTGTGTGTACCGTGTGTGTACTGTGTGTGTACTGTGTGTACTGTGTGTGTGTACTGTGTGTGTACACTGTGTGTGTACTGTGTGTGTACTGTGTGTGTGTACTGTGTGTACTGTGTGTGTGTACTGTGTGTGTACTGTGTGTGTGTACTGTGTGTGTACTGTGTGTGTACTGTGTGTGTACCATGTGTGTACTGTGTGTGTACAGTGTGTGTGTACTATGTGTGTACTGTGTGTACTCTGTGTGTACTGTGTGTACTCTGTGTGTACGTACTGTGTGTCTACTGTGTGTGTACTGTGTGTGTGTACTGTGTGTGTACTGTGTGTGTACTGTGTGTACTGTGTGTGTACTGTGTGTGCGTACTGTGTGTCTACTGTGTGTGTGTACTGTGTGTGTACTGTGTGTGTACTGTGTGTGTACTGTGTGTGTACTGTGTGTGTACTGTGTGTGTACTGTGTGTGCAGTGTGTGTACCGTGTGTGTGCAGTGTGTATACAGTGTGTGTACCGTGTGTGTGTACTGTGTGTGTGTGTGCAGTGTGTGTAACGTGTGTGTGTACTGTGTGTGTGTGCAGTGTGTGTACTGTGTGTGTGTACTGTGTGTGTACTGTGTGTACAGTGTGTGTACAGTGTGTGTACTGTGTGTGTACAGTGTGTGTACTGTGTGTGTACTGTGTGTGTACTGTGTGTACTGTGTGTCTGTACTGTGTGTATACAGTGTGTGTACAGTGTGTGTGTACAGTGTGTGCGTTGTGTGTGCGGTGTGTGTACAGTGTGTGTACAGTGTGTGTGTACAGTGTGTGTGTACTGTGTATGTACTGTGTGTACAGTGTGTGTACTGTGTGTGTACAGTGTGTGTACTGTGTGTGTACAGTGTGTGTGTGTACTGTGTGTGTACTGTGTGTGTACTGTGTGTACTGTGTGTGCGTACTGTGTGTACTGTGTGTCTACTGTGTGTGTGTACTGTGTGTGTACTGTGTGTGTACTGTGTGTGTGTACTGTGTGTACTGTGTGTGTACTGTGTGTGTACTGTGTGTGTGTACTGTGTGTGTACTGTGTGTGTGTACTGTGTGTGTACTGTGTGTGTGTACCGTGTGTGTGTACTGTGTGTGTGTACTGTGTGTGTGTACTGTGTGTGTGTACTGTGTGTGTACCGTGTGTGTACTGTGTGTGTGTACTGTGTGCACTGTGTGTGTACTGTGTGTACTATGTGTGTGCTGTGTGTGTACTGTGTGTACAGTGTGTGTACTGTGTGTACTGTGTGTGTGTACTGTGTGTGTGTACTGTGTGTGCTGTGTGTGTACTCTGTGTGTACTGTGTGTGTGTACTGTGTGTGTGTACTGTGTGTACTGTGTGTCTACTGTGTGTGTACTGTGTGTGTACTGTGTGTGTACTGTGTGTGCAGTGTGTGTGTACTGTGTGTGTGTACTGTGTGTGTGTACTGTGTGTGTGTACTGTGTGTGTGTACTGTGTGTGTACTGTGTGTGTACTGTGTGTGTGTACTGTGTGTACTGTGTGTGTACTGTGTGTGTGTACCGTGTGTGTGTGTACTGTGTGTGTGCAGTGTGTGTATACAGTGTGTGTATACAGTGTGTGTACTGTGTGTGTACAGTGTGTGTACAGTGTGTACAGTGTGTGTACAGTGTGTGTGTGCAGTGTGTGTGTGCAGTGTGTGTGCAGTGTGTGTACCGTGTGTGTGTGTACTGTGTGTGTGTACTGTGTGTGTACAGTGTGTGTGTACAGTGTGTGTGTACAGTGTGTGTGTGTGCTGTGTGTGTACAGTGTGTGTACTGTGTGTGTACTGTGTACAGTGTGTGTACAGTGTATGTACAGTGTGTGTACAGTGTGTGTACAGTATGTGTGTGTACAGTGTGTGTGCACACTCACGGGATGTTGGAGAGATGCAGCGTGGCGGAGGGTGGGAAGATGTTCTGGAAGTTCTTGGAGCCGGGCTTCTTGAAGCGGTGCAACGGAGAGCCTCCAAAGTCCTTGGTGAGGCCCTGGTCCTCGTGGCCTTCACGAGGCAGCTGGACCGTCTGGTGCTTGGACAGGGCGACGCGCATGTTCTTACCGTACTTGCGAACTCCGTTCAGGTGGCTCATGGCTACACGCGCGCACACACGGTGAGACGCACAGAGACACACGGTGAGACACACACAGTGAGACACACACACACGGTGAGACACACAGTGAGACACACACACACAGTGACACACACAGTGACAGAGACACACAGAGACACACGGTGAGACACACACAGTGAGACACACACACACGGTGAGACACACAGTGAGACACACACACACAGTGACACACACAGTGACAGAGACACACAGAGACACACGGTGAGACACACAGTGAGACACACACACACAGTGACACACACAGTGACAGAGACACACAGAGACACACGGTGAGACACACAGTGAGACACACACACAGTGAGACACACACAGTGACAGAGACACACAGAGACACACGGTGAGACACACAGTGAGACACACACACACAGTGAGACACACAGTGAGAGACACACAGTGAGAGACACACAGTGAGACACACACAGTGAGACACACACAGTGAGACACACGGTGAGACACACACAGTGAGACACACAGTGACACACACACAGTGACAGAGACACACAGAGACACACGGTGAGACACACGGTGAGACACACACACAGTGAGACACACACAGTGAGACACACACACAGTGACAGAGACACACAGAGACACACAGTGAGACACACACACAGTGAGACACACAGTGACAGAGACACACAGTAACAGAGACACACAGTGAGACACACACACAGTGAGACACACAGTGACAGAGACACACAGTAACAGAGACACACAGTGAGACACACACACAGTGAGACACACAGTGACAGAGACACACAGTAACAGAGACACACAGTGAGACACACACACAGTGAGACACACAGTGACACACACACAGTGGCAAAGTGAGACACACACACACAGTGAGACACACAGTGACAGAGACACACAGTAACAGAGACACACAGTGAGACACACACACAGTGAGACACACAGTGACAGAGACACACAGTAACAGAGACACACAGTGAGACACACACACACAGTGAGACACACAGTGACACACACACACAGTGGCAAAGTGAGACACACACACAGTGAGACACACAGTGACAGAGACACACAGTAACAGAGACACACAGTGAGACACACACACACAGTGAGACACACACAGTGAGAGACACACAGTGAGACACACACACAGTGACAGAGACACACAGAGACACACAGTGAGACACACACACAGTGAGACACACAGTGACAGAGACACACAGTAACAGAGACACACAGTGAGACACACACACAGTGAGACACACAGTGACAGAGACACACAGTAACAGAGACACACAGTGAGACACACACACAGTGAGACACACAGTGACAGAGACACACAGTAACAGAGACACACAGTGAGACACACACACAGTGAGACACACAGTGACACACACACAGTGGCAAAGTGAGACACACACACACAGTGAGACACACAGTGACAGAGACACACAGTAACAGAGACACACAGTGAGACACACACACAGTGAGACACACAGTGACAGAGACACACAGTAACAGAGACACACAGTGAGACACACACACACAGTGAGACACACAGTGACACACACACAGTGGCAAAGTGAGACACACACACAGTGAGACACACAGTGACAGAGACACACAGTAACAGAGACACACAGTGAGACACACACACACAGTGAGACACACACAGTGAGAGACACACAGTGAGACACACACACAGTGACAGAGACACACAGAGACACACAGTGAGACACACACACAGTGAGACACACAGTGACAGAGACACACAGTAACAGAGACACACAGTGAGACACACACACAGTGAGACACACAGTGACACACACACAGTGGCAAAGTGAGACACACACACACAGTGAGACAGACAGTGACATAGACACACAGTAACAGAGACACACAGTAACAGAGACACACACAGTGACGCACACACAGTGACACACAGTGACACACACACAGTGGCAAAGTGAGACACACAGTGAGACACATACACAGTGAGAGATACACACAGTGAGACACACAGTGAGAGAGACACACACACAGTGAGACACACACAGTGGCAAAGTGAGACACACAGTGACACACACACAGTGAGAGACACACACAGTGACACACACACAGTGACACACACACAGTGAGACACACACAGTGAGACACACACAGTGACACAGAGACACAGTGACACAGAGACACACAGTGACACACACAGTGACACACACAAAGTAGCAGCGTCCTTCACACAGGTGTACAGTGTGTGAATACTGTGTGTGTACTGTGTGTGTGTACTGTGCGTGTGTAGTGTGTGTGTCACTGTGTGTGTGTCACTGTGTGTGTGTCACTGTGTGTGTGTCACTGTGTGTGTGTCACTGTGTGTGTGTCACTGTGTGTGTGTACTGTGTGTGTGTGTGTACTGTGTGTGTGTGTCACTGTGTGTGTACTGGATCTATGCGGCATTCAGGAGGTCCGGTGGACCGGCTCTGGCTCCTGCCACCATGAGGGGTGGACAGTCCTCTACTCGGGGCAGCAGACTGCCAAACAACAGGGTGTGGCTCTTCTTTTGAACAAGAGAATGAAGGGGGCGTGGGAGCGTGGCGGTGAGGTGTGGGAAGCTGTAAGCCCCAGGCTACTTTGGGCTCGCCTTCCCATCAACCGGAGGCGAGGAATGGTGGTCGTGGTTACTTATGCCCCCACCGAAGATGAACATCCGTGGAGGGATGCAGGCAAAGCCGATGAGTCAGATGCCTTCTATGACCTCCTGTCACAGGTGTTGACTAAAGTAGCCTCTCGTGATAGAGTCATCATGTTGGGTGACTTCAATGCCCGAGTTGGTCATGATACTGGCACCTGGTCTGGAGTGATTGGAGGGCATGGGCCAGATCAGCTCAATAACAACGGTAGGAGGCTGCTAGATTTTTGTGCAGCCCATGGGCTTGTAATTACTAACACGCTGTTCCGGCATCGGCGCATCCACACAACATCATGGATGCATGCCGGGTCCAAGCAAGAACATCTGCTGGACTACATAGTGAGGGACCAGCGAATGCGAGCCCATGTCCTTGACACCACGACCTACCGTGGAGCTGATCTGCCCTCTGACCATCGACTAGTCATCTGTAAGATGCGCCTGCCATTCTTCCACTCCGGTGGTGGGTGTACACCCAGGACCCCATTCCAACCTAAAGTGGCCTGGTCTCAGTTATCTGATGAAAGTTGCGAGCGAGAATTTCATCATCGCTTGCGGCTGGGGTTGGCATCGTCCCCCACTCCTCCTGATGTCGAGGGTAAATGGGCGAGGTTTAGGACTGTGACTCATGCAGCTGCAATGGCTGCTTTGGGTACGCGGTCCAGACCTCCCCAGAGACCCTGGCTGACAGAGGAGGTGTTCAGGATGGTTGAGAAAAAGCGACAGGCCCACTGTCATCGGCTACAGAATCCCACGTCAGAGAATGAGGAGGCTTACCGCAGCCTTCGCTCGGAGGTTCGGAGAGCCGTGAGGCGCTGCAAGGATGGGTGGTGGTCGCGGGTTGCTGAGGAGATGGAGTCTGCCTCAGTGGCCCGTTATCACAAATCTCTATTTAACTCCATCAAAAAAGTAACCTGCAGTGCCACACCTATTACCATCATTAAGGGAAAAAACGGTGATCCAATCTCCGACCCCCAGGAACAGGTTCGCAGATTTGCTGAGCATTTCTGTGAGGTCCTGGGGGAGGGAAAATCCCACGGCCAGGAAAACATCGTGGCACAAAGTGAGGATGACCCTGCTGAGGCTGCGGTGCCTCAAATATTGGAAGAAGTCACCCCCTGTGAGTGGCTAGCTGAGGTGCCATCTGCTGAGGAAGTATTGAAGGCGATCCGGAGTCTGAGACCAGGAAAGGCAGCGGGCAGAGATGATCTCCCAAGCGAAATGCTGAGGGAGGGTGGCGTTTGTGCACAGACTGCCCTATATGACATCATAACAACAGTCTGGACCACTGGACGGGTTCCGCAGGATTGGAAGGATGCCCTGGTGGTCCCCCTCTTTAAGAAGGGGGGACCGCACAGACTGTAACAACTACAGGGGCATCTCACTCCTCAGTGTGCCGGGAAAGGTCCTGGCAAGGATTATTCAACATCGCCTTGCCAGGCACGCTGAGGAGAGGCTTGCGGAGCCCCAATGCGGTTTCAGGAAATGGCGGTCCTGCACAGATGCCATATTTTATGTCCGTCTGCTACAGCAGAGGTGTAGGGAATTCCAACAAGACCTACATCTCTGCTTTATTGACCTGGTCAAGGCCTATGATACCATCAGTAGGCCTGGGCTCTGGGTCGTTCTTCGTGCTTTTGGAGTACCTGACCCTCTGCTCACGATCATTAAGGACCTTCATGATGGTGAGCGGGCCCGGGTAAAACTACGTGGCCGGGAGTCAGAGCCATTCCCTGTACACCTTGGGGTGCGACAGGGATGTCATCTGGCTCCCACATTATTTAACATCTATTTTGACCACGTAGTTCGTGAAGCCTTCAATAGCTGTACCGGGGGAATCTCCATATGGTACAGATATAATGGGAGGCTAATCGACGCCCGGGCGCGGTCAAGGGATGGCTCCATATTGCTCAACCACGTTATGTATGCTGATGATTTGGTAATAGCTGCTCAGTCAGAGGAGGAGTTGGAGACGCTGCTGCTGAGACTGGAGCGTGCCACTAAGAGGTGGGGCCTTACCATCAGCCCCACCAAAACTAAGCACCTGCCTGGGTATTTTGTACCATCGGACACTCCATCCCCACAACTCCCAATCGGTGATGGGGCAGTTGTGGAGAGAGTGGAGAGTTTCCCATACCTGGGCAGTGTGCTTATGACTGGCTCCAGTTTAACAGCAGAGGTCTCACTCCGAATCAGTCGAGCGGCAATATCTTTTCATCGGTTGCGTAACGCTGTGTGGAAGCTACCTGGTCTGTCGCTCCGCACTAAGCTTCAGGTCTTCTCGGCCACGGTCATTCCCTCCCTTCTCTATGCTTGCGAAACGTGGACCCCCCTAATGGACCATCTTCGCTGGTTAGAAACATTTAGGCTGGCCTGCCTACGATCCATCCTGGGTTTAACCAGACTGGATTGTGTGAGGAGCTCACAAATCCTTGAAATATCTGGGCAGGGTCCCATCGGTGAGCTCCTCCGGCAGGCAAGGCTGCGATGGCTGGGTCATGTAGCCCGCATGCCCAGCCACCGCATGCCGAAACAGCTTTTGTTCGGCCGGATTGAGGGGGCTAAGCGGGCGCGGCACGGGCTAGAGAAGAGATGGTGTGATGTGGTAGAGGAGGACGTGGAGCTGAGTGGACTTGCCGATGACTGGCACCAGCGGTGTCAAGATCGGCCTCTGTGGAGGAGGCTCGTGAAGGACGCTACTGGGCAGTTGGAGGCAGTCGCCCTCCAACAACAACGGAGGACGGAGGAGCGACGCTCACAACAACGAGTGGAGCGCCGGGTGGCTAAAGCACAGCAGGTTGGCACAGTAGGGGGCACAGGTGGTGCATCAGCCAGTCATCTCAGTCAGTCGACCCGTGGCACCTGGGTCTGCCCCGTGACCACCTGCCAGCGGGCGTTCGACACTTCACGTGGCCTCAAGGTGCACATAGCCTGGCACAAGCGTCGTGGTGACGTCACCGCCACTTAGTGGCGAATGGCGGTTGTTGTTGTTGTACTGTGTGTGTGTACTGTGTGTGTACTGTGTGTGTGTACTGTGTGTGTGTACTGTGTGTGTACTGTGTGTGTACTGTACCCAGCTGTGCCTGGTTGGAATCAGCCATCTGCACCAGCGCGTTGTCTTTCTTGTTGAACAGAATCTTCACTCTCTGTACGTCACCATAGACGCCTACACACACAGTACACACACACAGTACACACACACAGACACACACAGAGTACACGCACGGTACACACACACAGTACACACACACGCGCAGAACACACACACAGAGTACACGCACGGTACACACACACAGACACACACACACAGGCAGACACACACACAGACAGACACACAGACAGACACGGGGAACAGCAGTGAGTGAAACCGGCAATGGAACTGTAACACAGCATCAGCCACCATCACCACCACCACCACAACCACCAACGCCACCACCACCACCACCACCACCCACCACAACCGACGAGAATAGAAAAAAGATGATGTGGCAAACGAGAGCGGCGATGATGACAAAATAAACGAGCGGGATCAGCAGCCAGAGTAGCCACGGCCATTGTGGGTGGGGGGAGAGGGGAGGAGGAGGAGGGGGGGCTGGTGGGGGTGAGGGGGAAATTTCTGACGGGAGCTACAACTCACCAACCCACCCACCCACTCACCTAACCTCTCACAGCCATTCACTCCAACACTCAATTGCCCACCGACTAACAACTCACCTACCCACACATCCGCCCACCCCACTTCACCTACCCACTCCGCTGGCTCACCCACTCACTCACTCACCTATCTATCTACCCACCCATGCCCTCAACCTACCACACCCCCACCCATCCACTCGCCTACTCAACCACCCATACACTCACCCACTCGCCTACTCAACCACCCATACACTCACCCACTCGCCTACCTACCCATCCACTCGCCTACTCAACCACCCATACACTCACCCACTCGCCTACCTACCCATCCACTCACCTACTCAACCACCCATACACTCACCCACTCGCCTACCTACCCATCCACTCACCTACTCAACCACCCATACACTCACCCACTCGCCTACCTACCCATCCACTCGCCTACTCAACCACCCATACACTCACCCACTCGCCTACCTACCCATCCACTCGCCTACTCAACCACGCATACACTCACCCACTCGCCTACCTACCCATCCACTCGCCTACTCAACCACCCATACACTCACCCACTCGCCTACCTACCCATCCACTCGCCTACTCAACCACCCATACACTCACCCACGCGCCGACCTACCCATCCACTCGCCTACTCAACCACCCAGACACTCACCCACTCGCCTACCTACCCATCCACTCGCCTACTCAACCACCCATACACTCACCCACTCGCCTACCTACCCATCCACTCGCCTACTCAACCACCCATACACTCACCCACTCGCCTACCTACCCATCCACTCGCCTACTCAACCACCCATACACTCACCCACTCGCCTACCTACCCATCCACTCGCCTACTCAACCACCCATACACTCACCCACTCGCCTACCTACCCATCCACTCGCCTACTCAACCACCCATACACTCACCCACTCGCCAACCTACCCATCCACTCACCTACTCAACCACCCATACACTCACCCACTCGCCTACCTACCCATCCACTCGCCTACTCAACCACCCATCCACTCACCCACTCGGCTACCTACCCATCCACTCGCCTACTCAACCACCCATACACTCACCCACTCGCCTAACTACCCATCCACTCGCCTACTCAACCACCCATACACTCACCCACTCGCCTACCTACCCATCCACTCGCCTACTCAACCACCCATACACTCACCCACTCGCCTACCTACCCATCCACTCGCCTACTCAACCACCCATACACTCACCCACTCGCCTACCTACCCATCCACTCGCCTACTCAACCACCCATACACTCACCCACTCGCCTACCTACCCATCCACTCGCCTACTCAACCACCCATCCACTCACCTACTCAACCACCCATACACTCACCCACTCGGCTACCTACCCATCCACTCGCCTACTCAACCACCCATACACTCACCCACTCGCCTACCTACCCATCCACTCGCCTACTCAACCACCCATACACTCACCCACTCGCCTACCTACCCATCCACTCGCCTACTCAACCACCCATACACTCACCCACTCGCCTACCTACCCATCCACTCGCCTACTCAACCACCCATACACTCACCCACTCGCCTACCTACCCATCCACTCGCCTACTCAACCACCCATACACTCACCCACTCGCCTACCTACCCATCCACTCACCTACTCAACCACCCATACACTCACCCACTCGCCTACCTACCCATCCACTCGCCTACTCAACCACCCATACACTCACCCACTCGCCTACCTACCCATCCACTCGCCTACTCAACCACCCATACACTCACCCACTCGCCAACCTACCCATCCACTCGCCTACTCAACCACCCATACACTCACCCACTCGCCTACCTACCCATCCACTCGCCTACTCAACCACCCATACACTCACCCACTCGCCTACCTACCCATCCACTCACCTACTCAACCACCCACAGACTCACCACTCGCCAACCTACCCAGCCACTCACCTACTCAACCACCCATACACTCACCCACTCGCCTACCTACCCATCCACTCGCCTACTCAACCACCCATACACTCACCCACTCGCCTACCTACCCATCCACTCGCCTACTCAACCACCCATACACTCACCCACTCGCCAACCTACCCAGCCACTCGCCTACTCAACCACCCATACACTCACCCACTCGCCTACCTACCCATCCACTCGCCTACTCAACCACCCATCCACTCACCCACTCGCCTACCTACCCATCCACTCACCTACTCAACCACCCATACACTCACCCACTCGCCTACCTACCCATCCACTCACCTACTCAACCACCCATACACTCACCCACTCGCCTACCTACCCAGCCACTCACCTACCAATCCAATCACTCGGCTACGCAAGTATTCACTCACCTACCAATCCAATCACTCGGCTACGCAAGTATTCACTCGCCTACCAATCCAATCACTCACTCACCTACCCTCCCACTCACCTACCCACCCACTCATTCACTCACCCACCCACACACCTACCCATTGTGCTCTGGGTGCGATGCTATTGGATATCGCCGTCCGGCTAAGCACCACTCTGCACTGCTGCTATGGAGGAGTACATTGAATGTGAGATGTTGACTACCTCGCCTGGTACACAGGAGGTCGTGGGTTCGATCCCGGACCCTGTGAGATGTTGACTACCTCGCCTGGTACGGAGGTCGTGGGTTCGATCCCTGGACCCTGTGAGATGTTGACTACCTCGCCTGGTACACAGGAGGTCGTGGGTTCGATCCCTGGACCCTGTGAGATGTTGACTACCTCGCCTGGTACACAGGAGGTCGTGGGTGCGATCCCGGACCCTGTCCCCGCGGTGGATGTATCTCCGGCTTTTCCCCTCCACGTTTAGAATCAACATCGCCACGACTTTTAGAGTATTTGCCTGCTGTACACGTCCACGTGATGATGAAACTGATGATAGCCATTGGCAGGTCGCTTCTGATTAAAAAGCTACACAGAAACTCACTGGTGACCTTACACCTGGCAACACAAACACTGTCAAGTTTTAGTGTGGGTCTCGGTGGGTCTCTATAAGTATGGGTCTCTATGGGTCTATGAGTATGGGTCTCTATGGGTCTCTGTGGGTCTTTTAGTATGGGTCTCTGTGGGTCTATGAGTATGGGTCTCTGTGGGTCTCTGTGGGTCTATGAGTATGGGTCTCTATGGGTCTCTATGGGTCTATGATTATGGGTCTCTGTGGGTCTATGAGTATGGGTCTCTGTGGGTCTATGAGTATGGGTCTCTGTGGGTCTATGAGTATGGGTCTCTATGGGTCTCTGTGGGTCTATTGAGTATGGGTCTCTGTGGGTCTATGAGTATGGGTCTCTATTGTTCTCCGAGTATGGGTCTCTATGGGTCTCTGTGGGTCTATGAGTATGGGTCTCTGTGGGTCTGAGTATGGGTCTCTATGGGTCACTGTGGGTCACTGAGTATGGGTCTCTGTGGGTCTCTGTGGGTCTATGAGTATGGGTCTCTGTGGGTCTCTGTGGGTCTATGAGTATGGGTCTCTATGGGTCACTGTGTATGGGTCTCTGTGGGTCTCTATGGGTCTATGAGTATGGGTCTCTATGGGTCTATGTGCATGGGTCTCTATGGGTCTATGAGTATGGGTCTCTATGGGTATCTATGGGTCTATGAGTATGGGTCTCTGTGGGTCTATGAGTATGGGTCTCTATGGGTCTATGTGCATGGGTCTCTATGGGTCTCTGTAGGTCTCTATGAGTATGGGTCTCTATGGGTCTCTGTGGGTCTATGAGTGTGGGTCTCTATGGGTCACTGTGTATGGGTCTCTGTGGGTCTCTATGGGTCTATGAGTATGGGTCTCTATGGGTCTATGTGTATGGGTCTCTATGGGTCTCTATCGGTCTATGAGTATGGGTCTCTGTGGGTCTATGCATATGGGTCTCTATGGGTCTCTATGGGTCTCTATGGGTCTATGAGTATGGGTCTCTATGGGTCACTGTGTATGGGTCTCTGTGGGAAGTCACACAGTCGCTCAATGGGACTGTACACAGCTGCTAACTAAATACAACTTGCGTGTATGTGTGTGTGTATGTGTGTGTGTGTGTCTGTGTGTGTGTGCATGCGTGTGTGTCTGTGTGTCTGTGTGTGTGTCTGTGTGTGCGTCTGTGTGTGTGTCTGTGTGTGTGCGTTGGCGTGTGTCTGTGTGTAGGGAGTTTCTAGTTAATAAACTTGACAGCGATCAAACAAAAAGGGCAGTTTGTGATGCTGATGAAGTAGTAACACAAGGTGGTGGTGGTGGTGGTGATGGTGGTGATGAAGGTGGTGGTGGTGGTGATGATGGTGGTGGTGGTGGTGATGATGAAGGTGGTGGTGAAGTTGGTGGTGGTGATGAAGGTGGTGGTGGTGATGATGGTGGTGGTGAAGATGGTGGTGGTGAAGATGGTGGTGGTGAAGATGGTGGTGGTGAAGATGGTGGTGGTGGTGATGAAGGTGGTGGTGGTGATGAAGGTTGTGGTGGTGATGAAGGTTGTGGTGATGAAGGTGGTGGTGGTGATGATGGTGGTGGTGATGAAAGTGGTGGTGGTGGTGGTGATGAAGGTGGTGGTGGTGGAGGTAGTGGAGGAGGAGGTGGTGGTGGTGGAGATGAAGGTGGTGGTGGAAATGAAGGTGGTGGTGGAGGAGGTGGTGGAGGAGGAGGTGGTGGTGGCGGTGGTGGTGGAGGAGTTGGTGGTGGTGGAGATGAAGGTGGTGGTGGAGGAGGTGGAGGTGGTGGTAGTGGTGGTGGTGGAGGTGGTGGAGGAGGAGGGTTGGTGGTGGAGATGAAGGTGGTGGTGGTGGTGGTGGTGATGAAGGTGGTGGTGGTGGTGGAGGTGGTGGTGGAGGTGGTGGTGGAGGTGGTGGTGGAGGTGGTGGAGGAGGAGGGTTGGTGGTGGAGATGAAGGTGGAGGTGGTGGAGGTGGTGGAGGAGGAGGAGGAGGGTTGGTGGTGGAGATGAAGGTGGTGGTGGTGGTGGTGATGAAGGTGGTGGTGGTGGTGGAGGTGGTGGTGGAGGTGGTGGTGGAGGTGGTGGAGGAGGTGGAGGAGGGTTGGTGGTGGAGATGAAGGTGGTGGTGGTGGTGGTGGAGGAGGTGGAGGAGGAGGAGGGTTGGTGGTGGAGACATACCGAAGAGGACAAAGAGGCTCTGTGGCGTGACCATCTTTAGAAGGGAGAGAGGAGACGCAGCAGCAGCAGCAGCAGCAGGAGGAGCAGGAGGAGCAGGAGGAGCACAACCACCCCCCCAGGGACACAGCACAGGGGGAGACACGGGGGAGATGGGGGAGGGAGAGGAGATGGGGAGGGAGGGAGGGATGGGGAGGGAGAGATGGGGAGGGAGAGATTGGGAGAGAGATGGGGAGAGAGAGATGGGGGAGAGATGGGGAGGGAGATAGGGGAGAGAGAGAGGGAGAGATGGGGAGAGAGATGGGGAGGGAGGGAGGGAGAGATGGGGAGAGAGATGGGGAGGGAGGGATGGGGAGGGAGAGATGGGGAGAGAGAGATTGGGAGAGATGGGGAGGGAGGGATGGGGGAGAGATGGGGAGAGAGATGGGGAGGGAGGGATGGGGAGGGAGAGATGGGGAGAGAGAGATGGGGAGAGATGGGGAGGGAGGGATGGGGGAGAGATGGGGAGAGAGAGATGGGGAGGGAGAGATGGGGAGGGAGAGAGAGATGGGGGAGAGAGATGGGGGAGAGTTTGGGGAGGGAGAGATGGGGAGAGAGAGGGAGGGGAGGGAGATGGGGAGAGAGATGGGGGATATGGGGAGAGAGAGAGATGGGGAGAGATTGGGGAGGGAGATGGGGGAGAGAGATGGGGGAGAGATTGGGGAGAGAGATGGGGGAGAGATTGGGGAGAGAGATGGGAGAGAGGTTGGGGAGGGAGGGAGAGATGGGGAGAGAGAGATGGGGGAGAGAGAGGGAGGGGAGGGAGATGGGGAGAGAGATGGGGAGAGAGAGGGAGGGGAGGGAGATGGGGAGATGGGGAGGGAGAGAAGGGGAGAGAGAGAGATGGGGAGAGAGAAGGGGAGAGAGAAGGGGAGAGAGAAGGGGAGAGAGAGATGGGGAGAGATGGGGAGATGGGGAGAGAGAGAGGGAGAGATGGGGAGGGAGAGGGAGGGGAGATGGGCAGGGAGAGGGAGGGAGAGGGATGGGAATTGTAAAAATCAGCGAGAAACAGTGAGGAGATAAATAAAAATGTAAATAAATATTAACACAAATCTGAATAAAAAGTCAAAGCGTTGTGAAATAAAAACGTGAGGGGGTTAGCGTGGATGTTGAGAAGCCATCAATCCCTCTCCACACACAGCGCACACACACACAGCACACACAGTACACACACACACAGTACACACACAGTACACACACACAGTACACACACAGTACACACACACAGTACACACAGTACACACACACAGTACACACAGTACACACACACAGTACACACACACAGTACACACACAGTACACACACACACAGTACACACACACACAGTACACACACACAGTACACACACACAGTACACACAGTACACACACACAGTACACGCACACAGTACACGCACACACACACAGTACACGCACACAGTACACGCACACAGTACACACACACAGTACACGCACACAGTACACGCACACAGTACACGCACACAGTACACACACACAGTACACACACACAGTACACACACACAGTACACACACACAGTACACGCACACAGTACACGCACACAGTACACACACACAGTACACACACACAGTACACACACAGTACACACACACAGTGCACACACACACAGTACACACACACAGTACATGCACACAGTACACACAGTACACACACAGTACACACACACAGTACACGCACACAGTACACACACAGTACACACACAGTACGCGCACACACAGTACATACACAGTACACACAGTACACACACAGTAAACACACAGTACATACGGCACACAGTACACACACACAAAACACAGTATATACACACACACAGTACACACACAGTACACACACACAAAACACAGTATATATATATAGACACACACACAAACATAACACAGTACACACACACAGTACAGTAAAACACAGTATGCAAACGCAGTACAGCATGCACAGCAAGCAAACAGCACACACAACACTAACACACAACACTAACACACAACACTAACACACAACACTAACACACAACACTAACACTAACACACAACACTAACACTAACACACAACACTAACACTAACACACAACACTAACACTAACACACAACACTAACACTAACACACAACACTAACACACGACACTAACACTAACACACGACACTAACACTAACACACAACACTAACACTAACACACAACACTAACACACAACACTAACACTAACACACTAACACACACACACTAACACTAACACACTAACACACAACACTAACACACAACACTAACACTAACACACAACACTAACACTAACACACAACACTAACACTAACACACAACACTAACACTAACACACAACACTAACACTAACACACAACACTAACACTAACACACAACACTAACACTAACACACACCACTAACACTAACACACAACACTAACACTAACACACAACACTAACACTAACACACAACACTAACACTAACACACAACACTAACACTAACACACAACACCAACACACACACAACACCAACACACACACAACACCAACACACACACAACACCAACACACACACAACACTAACACACACACAACACTAACACACACACAACACTAACACACACACAACACTAACACACACACAACACTAACACACACACAACACTAACACACACACAACACTAACACACACAAAACACTAACACACACACAACACTAACACACACACAACACTAACACACACACAACACTAACACACACACAACACTAACACACACACAACACTAACACACACACAACACTAACACACACACAACACTAACACAACACACAACACTAACACACACAACACTAACACACACAACACTAACACACACTAACACACACAACACTAACACACAACAGTAACACACAGCACTAACACACAACAGTAACACATCACACCCTGTTATAACACTGCAGTAACACAACCTGTTATAACAGCAGCAGTAACACAGCGCACCCTGTTATAACAACAGCAGTAACACATCACAACCTGTTATAAACACACAACACAGCACACCCTGTTATAACACAGCACACCCTGTTATAACACACAACACAGCACACCCTGTTATAACAACAGCAGTAACACAGCACACCCTGTTATAACAACAGCAGTAACACAGCACACCCTGTTATAACAACAGCAGTAACACAGCACAACCTGTTATAACACAGCACACCCTGTTATAACAACAGCAGTAACACATCACACCCTGTTAAAACAACAGCAGTAACACAGCACACCCTGTTATAACAACAGCAGTAACACAGCACACCCTGTTACAACACAGCACACCCTGTTATAACAACAGCAGTAACACAGCACACCCTGTTATAACACAGCACACCCTGTTATAACAACAGCAGTAACACAGCACACCCTGTTATAACAACAGCAGTAACACAGCACACCCTGTTATAAACACACAACACAGCACACCCTGTTATAACACCAGCAGTAACACAGCACACCCTGTTATAACAACAGCAGTAACACAGCACACCCTGTTATAACAACAGCAGTAACACAGCACACCCTGTTATAACAACAGCAGTAACACAGCGCACCCTGTTATAACAAAGCACACCCTGTTATAACAGCAGTAACACAGCACACCCTGTTATAACAACAGCAGTAACACAGCACACCCTGTTATAACACAGCACACCCTGTTATAACAACAGCAGTAACACAGCACACCCTGTTATAAACACACAACACAGGATGCTATACAGCTCTAACACAGCATGCCGTGTAAAACACTGTGAGTGATGAGTGTGTGTGAGTGTGAGTGATGAGTGTGTGTGAGTGATGAGTGTGTGTGAGTGATGAGTGTGTGTGATGAGTGTGTGTGAGTGATGAGTGTGTGTGAGTGATGAGTGTGTGTGATGAGTGTGTGTGAGTGATGAGTGTGTGTGAGTGATGAGTGTGTGTGAGTGATGACTGTGTGTGAGTGATGTGTGTGTGAGTGATGTGTGTGTGTGAGTGTGTGTGAGTGATGTGTGTGAGTGATGAGTGTGTGATGTGTGTGTGAGTGATGAGTGTGTGTGAGTGATGAGTGTGTGTGAGTGTGTGTGTGAGTGAGTGTGTGTGAGTGTGTGTGAGTGATGAGTGTGTGTGAGTGATGAGTGTGTGTGTGTGTGTGTGATGAGTGTGTGTGAGTGTGTGTGTGAGTGAGTGTGTGTGAGTGTGTGTGAGTGATGAGTGTGTGTGAGTGATGAGTGTGTGTGTGTGAGTGATGAGTGTGTGTGAGTGATGTGTGTGTGTGAGTGTGTGTGAGTGTGTGTGAGTGATGAGTGTGTGTGAGTGATGAGTGTGTGTGAGTGATGAGTGTGTGTGTGTGAGTGATGAGTGTGTGTGAGTGATGTGTGTGTGTGAGTGTGTGTGAGTGTGTGTGAGTGATGAGTGTGTGTGAGTGATGAGTGTGTGTGAGTGATGAGTGTGATGTGAGTGTGTGTGAGTGATGAGTGTGTGTGAGTGATGAGTGTGTGTGAGTGATGTGTGTGTGTGAGTGTGTGTGAGTGTGTGTGAGTGATGAGTGTGTGTGAGTGATGAGTGTGTGTGAGTGATGAGTGTGATGTGAGTGTGTGTGAGTGATGAGTGTGTGTGAGTGATGAGTGTGTGTGAGTGATGTGTGTGTGTGAGTGATGAGTGTGTGTGAGTGTGTGTGTGAGTGATGAGTGTGTGTGAGTGATGAGTGTGTGTGATGAGTGTGTGTGTGAGTGATGTGTGTGTGTGAGTGATGAGTGTGTGTGAGTGTGTGTGTGAGTGAGTGTGTGTGAGTGTGTGTGAGTGATGAGTGTGTGTGAGTGATGAGTGTGTGTGTGTGAGTGATGAGTGTGTGTGAGTGATGTGTGTGTGTGAGTGTGTGTGAGTGTGTGTGAGTGATGAGTGTGTGTGAGTGATGAGTGTGTGTGAGTGATGAGTGTGTGTGTGTGAGTGATGAGTGTGTGTGAGTGATGT